TGTCTGGTTATATTTTTGGTTTTTAACCTCTAGCTACCTCTAATAGTCTCTGTACCGCAGCTTGTCTCTTTGTCTCCTAACATCCATTAGAGCCATGGGTAGAGCCACAGGTAGAGCTGTGTTACTGACAAATAAAAAAAGTCAACACGGCAACTTCTGCAGTCTAATGTCTATATAGGGAAAGATTCAAGAGCTAGAAAATCAGTCCCTTTATTTACACCTTAAAATGATTATAAAAATGTGTGCATGGTAAAACAAAACTTTTTTAAAAAATGAAACCAACTGGTTACATCTAAAAGTTCTAGAAACTAGGATTAAATCCTTTTAAATCCCTCATAAATATCATGCACATTTATGTCTGTTTTGAAACACCTAAAGACAAAGGTACAATTTTTAAAACCTGAAGCTATTCAAGAACCAAACACATTCAACAAGTATTTTTCTCCTAGGGACAAAAAAATAAAAAGTTCTCTAAAGTTAAAGTGTCACTTGCACTGCATTCCTTTAAGGCAACACACCGGCCACAATAACAATAATTTGCATTAATTAAAAATTTTATATAACTATTCTTAGATGGGGCAAATCAGTTTTGCTTTAATCCTTTGTAGAACAGTAATATAGAATTTTTTCATGCTTCAAAAACTCAAAGGACTGAGAAACTACTTTGAAGATAACAATATGCAACATTACAACCATTGTTAAATTCCTATCATTTTGTTTTGAAATCCTATATTGCTATTGTTCTTTGTTGTTGCTGTTCTTTTTATGTTGTTTTTTTTGTTTTGCTTCTTGATTTTTCTGGGTTTTTCTTTTTAAAATAAATTTTTAAAAACTCAAATGGATTAAATGTGCTATACGTCTGTGTGTGTAAATGTATGTGAAAAGTTGGCAACCAATCATTGTATAAAACTTATACTCTAAATGATAAGCCCTTCAAGGCAAAGACAGCGTGTTCCTCAGCCTCATGGGGATGGGAGTGTTTATAAACCAAGGAGGAAAGAAAAAACATTTTTTAAAAAATGGTACCAGAGCAACTGAACACCTGTTTGGAAAAAAGATAAATCTCAAGCTCTAAAAAATATTTCGAGATGGATCACAGCCATGACACAAAGGCTAAGACAAGCTAAAAACTGAATGTAAAAACTAGAACTGCAAACAAAGTAGGATATCTCAGAGACCCTGAAGCAGGCAATGTTTCTCAGAAGGTATACAGAGAGTACCACTTGTTAAAGAAAAAAACTAATAAAGCAGATAATATCAAATTTTTAAAACTTGCTTGCCAAATAAATACTCCATTAAAAAATGAATAAATAAGCAAGCTTGGGGAAAAATTTACCTATAATTGACAAATGATTTGTATTCAATAGTTTAAAAAACTCAGAAAGCTTAGACAAAAGATGTGAAGGGTTGCTTCATAAAGGAGCATATGCAAAGGGCTGGTAAACAAATGGACACCTGATTGGTCATCGGGAAGATACATATCAAAGTCACAATGTGATATTGCATCAGGTTGACCAGCCCACTCCACAGAATAACCACAGTGAAACAGACAACCTGAAATGTTGGGTGAATGTGGGTCGGCCCGGCTTGTGCAGGGCTGGTGGGAATGTATGTCAGCAATCCCTTCAGAAGTCGGAGGTTTCCTAACAAGCCATATACCCAGCCATCTGACAAGCAGCAACTCCAGGCCTGGGAATTGATCCAAGAGAAATAGAAATGTATGACACAAAAAATGTGTAAAACAATGTTAAGAGAAGCCTAGCGTGTGACTCGTTGACCAGGCATTGGTGAGCACGTGAATTAACCCAGGCTGAAAAATCAAAACATTCTGTGGAGACCACGGAGATTTCCTGGGGAAGGGAGCTGGGACTTTGCGGGATGACAGAAGTATTATGAATCAGGAGGAAGGCGTGAGTTCCAGGTGGGCAGACAGTTATCAGAATATTTCAAATTGTACACTCAGGTCTTGACTGCACTGCATGCAGATTACATTGCAAACTTGCAGTTAGTAAAATGTTTAAAAATTGAGAGAGATGTGTCTGGAGCTGGACTGTGAATTTGAAGCCTGTCTCTACCAGCTGTAGAAAGAGGACAGTGATGACCCAGCCTACTTCTGGGGGAGCTATGGGGACTGAGGACAAGTGCGTGAGGTCCTCGGGAGGGGACCTGGGAGAAGGAAGCACTAACCATGGGGATTTGTGTTCCACAGTCCTCTCAAGGACAGAATAAATTAATAAATAAATACCACCTTCGAAACTCTATGGGGATACTCAGGCTGCTGCTTTTCTTCTGGCAAATTCTGTGATGGATCCAGGGGCTCATGATTACAGCTGAGAAAATTTAGGTACAATAAAGCATGTTATGCCCTCTTCTACGGCAGTGTTTTCCCCCAAGGTAGATAGTAGTGCACTTTATAGAATATGCTTGCACAAGTATTTCCTTCACCTGGAGAAAAAGACCATGGAAATTTCTTTACCTGTGCTAGAGATGAAAAGTCAACCTCATAGTTACTTTAAATATTTAGTCCCAGAGCACTGGTTTATGGCTTTGTGAATCCAGTAAAGGACGATTTTGCTATATTGATATTTTTATTCATGGGTTAAGAACTGAAGAAACTGTCCCTATGTATTTTTTTTTAGTTAAATAAAATCATGATTTAAAGATGCCAGTCAAGCAATTCCTATGTAAGGAAATAGCTCATATTATTCCACACCTTGTATTATGAAGAATCAGAGAAAGTAGGCTCCAGACCCAGATGGGCTGTTATGGCTTGTGCCCAGATGTCCCCCCAAAGCCTCATGTGCTCACTGGTGGCAATTTTCAGAGCCTATTTTTCAGATATGAAAATTGAAATTCATACACATCACTCAGGCTTCTCTCAACAAAATCTTCTTTGTTTTCCTTTATAACACAGCAAATGTAACTCAATACATTTCAAGCTATCAAAATGTATGATTATTGCAGAACACTTCAAAAACAAGAAAAATGATAAGATGTCCTGCAATCATAAAGGACCATGAAGCAGCAAGTATATTTCTTACTCTGCTTATCTGCATGCTTTTCAGTTGTTAAAATCATGCTTTGTAAACATTATATCCTGCACTTTAGATTTAATGTTACACTAAAAGTATTTCCACATTACTGTTTTTAAAGAACCTGGACACAAAAGCACAGATAAAGCCACTTGAGTGACTCTGTGAACACTGAAACTTCAAAATGCTTTGTGTCTGATCCATGAGATCTTATTCAGATTGAGTTCACAAGTTCAATGTTTTGTAAATTGCTTCTTAATAGCAATATTAAGTGACTAATTATTAAAGAGCTATCAATAGCAATTTAGTAATTGAACTTTATGTTCCACTATATAGGTCTACTGGATAATCCTATTAGAATCAAGAATTTTTTTTGAAGAAACTTAAAATATGTAGGCAAAAGAAAAATATGTAGGGAAATAGAATACAGGTGTTTAAACACTAACAACCTCACTCATGAGAATCATATTGGCTAAAATAGTACATATCACAGGGTAGGTTTACATGGTATGTATGTGCATACATACTAGCGATACTGCTAATATCTGATAAACTAAGGTATTTTCCCCTTAAATCCATCCTATAATACTAATCAAACATATTTGGAGGACTGCATAAGCTGTGAAAAATACATGAAATCGCTACTTAAAGAAAGAAAAACTTAGATGAGTTTTCCTCTTTCCATCTGATTCTTATTACCCATAGTTTAGTCTCATAAGTACCAACATTTATGCTTAACAACATCAATGTTCAGAGCATGGGCATTATATCACTTTCTTTTTTATCAAAAAAATCTCAACTCTAACTTTAACTTATATTTGACTCCAGCAAATACTGGGGCGTGTGGTACCAGTCAGCAAGGGTGTGCATGAAAGGAATTGGGCATCTGTGCTCCCTCTTGCCCAGTTGGCTGATAAATTCTTTTGTTGGTCAAACATCAGAAATTCTTTCATCCTCCTGAGAAAAGCAAAGACCTATGTTGGGAATTGTCAATGCGGACTTTATGGATAAACTCAATGGCAAAATTTCAGCAACTCGAATTGATGGACACCTTCCGGCCTGTGTCTCCCATGAACTATGAAAGCTGTCTCTGCCCACAGAGATCTGAGTTGGGCAGGGCTCAGCTGCTGTCAGCCAGGCGACTGCCGTGAGCAGGCAGCCACCACTCAAGAAGACCTTGGTGTCTCCGCCATCTCTTCCTGGATTAAGAAATTTTGGCAGCTGATCTAACTAGTGAGAGCATCGCCACCCCATAAAGATCCCAATGCCTCCGTCACCTTTACCTGGTGCAGGGTGGCAGGAGCACAGTAGAGGGATGAGTGGAGAGAGGACAGAAGCCAATGTGCAAGCGTGCGCCCTTCAGGCCCGGTCAGTGGAGTCCACCCCCTAGACCAACCAACGGCCCTGGAAAGCAATGTCCACTCTCTGGCTTATGAGGCTGCTTCTCTCCCACACACGCACACATGCACAGGTGCACATATACACATAAGCAAGTGTATACCCATGAACACACATGCAACATGCACATACACATGCACACACATGTGCTCACTTGCGCACACATTCACATATGCACATGTTCATACATGCACACATGTACACATACACATGCACAAACACCCATTTCACCTTACACCAGGGAAACTGGTGACTAGATCTAGGTTAACTGATAAGATACTATTCTATGAAAAACACAAAAATAGCTACTCGGGAGACTGAGCAGAGGATTACAAGTGAAAGCCCACTTTGGGCAATTTAGAAGACTCAAAATAAAATAAAAAAGGGCCAGGGATGTAGCTCAGCACTGAAGCATTTGCCAGGCATGCATGAGGCCCTAGGTTCCATCCTCAGTGCCACAAAAGATGTTTCTGAACACAAGTAGAGTTAGAAACCAAACATTAGCTTTTAAAAGACTGGGCAACTAGAGGCGTGTGTACCCATGCAAAGCTCAGAGGCATGTGAGCTTACCAAGAATAATTCTCCTTGGCGAAAGGTCTGGGCTTCTGGGAGGAGTCCGAGCTAAATGTGACCAGCTCTCTATGAAATCTGGAGGTAGCGTGGTTAGTCTGTTGCTTGATAAATCCAAGTAGGCGAGGTTCTTCAGATACCGGCCTGCCTCATTTGGCACACTGGTTATCCTGTTATTGTGCAAGTCCAGGGTCTTCAGACGGGGCATGTCCGACAGAGAGGCCCAAGGGAAGGTGGCCAGAGAGTTCCCATCCAAGCGCAACTCGTGCAGCTCCTTCAGGTTGTAGAAGCTGCTGGGCTCCACACTGGCCACCGAGTTGTACGGGAGCCAGAGGTAGCGGAGCTCCACCAGGTAGTAGAAGGCCTCGGCGGGGACGCTGTGGATGACGGTCTTCTCGATGCGGAGCTTTGCGGTGTCCACGGGGATGTTGGCGGGGACTTCGTTCATGTCCAGATCATTACACAGCACGGACCTAGCGTCACAAAAACAACACAAAGAGACGCACTTTCAGGACCCATCTGGAAAAAATAATCCTCAATGGAAACATGTAGCCACTTTTCATTCCCTCCTTGTCACAAAATATTTGTGACTTGGCTGACTTGGCCATTAATAAAGCCTCACCATCGTCATCGTCATCGTCACCATCGTCTTCATTATCCTGACAGCAGCAAGCAGTATGTTGAGCCACGTGAAATGGCCATAATTGTTATACAACAAAAAAAGTACAAACACCTGCGGCTTCATGGGGTTCAACCTGGCACATCGGGAGCTCTTTCCAGGTCAGTCCTGGGCAGTACAGGTCATGTCCATCCCTGTTTAATCACCACACCCGCCCAGGCGGCAGACACTGGGGAATAGGTAAAGGCACAGCTCTACACTCAGGCTAATCCTGATTCAGATCTGAGCTTTGCCACCTCCTCTGCCAAGGGAAAGCCACTTTACCAGACCACAGCCACATTCCCCATGTGGCACTCTATTAATTAAGATGGTTGGTGTAAAATGTACCTACCTAGCACACCGTGAGCAGCCTGTAGGTGTTTGCTGCTACTCTCAACAATCTTATTTTGCATCTAAATGAACGCATTACCCATTACCACATAGGTCTCCCTGCTAATGAGGACAGAGCTCCCTTTCAGCCCCAATGTTACCCAGCTCTGAAGGGCAGCTATCTGGAAATGGCCCAGCAAGAATCATGTGTTAGAATCAGAAAGGGATCCTTTTTAAGAAAATCACTATATTGGGAAAAAAGCAATCATTCATACTAAATGTTTAAAGTCTAGCTCTGCTTTACAGCATGAGCTGTGCATTGTTTTCCACCTAAGAAATTAGCCAGAAATTGAATTCCTTCTACCACTCGCTAACTTAAATGACCTAGTGTGACCTTGTTTGTTGGCACAGTGAAACACGTGCAGAAAAACAAGCCTGTCCCCCATGTGGGTTTATAGTGTAAAGAATCTGAGAATTTACATTCATTTTAGCCTGGAAAAAAAGTCCTATTTATTTTCCATAATATACTCATCTATGTTCCTAAAAATGATCAAAAAAAAAGTTTTGCAAAATGCACCAGCGTCACAACACCCTACGCATTTAGCAAATAATAACAATTAAACAATAAAACAGTCCTTCAGTGAAAATGCATCACATTAAATCATGCTGTTTCTAAAGCCAGGGGTAAGCAGCACATGCCCTCACTAGCATCACCTTCCTCTGACGTTATAAGAAAACAGTGCAGAAATGCTCTGAAGATCCCTTTCAGTCTTCATCGCTGTTTTATATTGCAAATGTCAGTGCTACTTTACATCAGGACAACAGCAGCTTCACTCATAAGTAGGCATCTCAGTGTGCTACAGTAGAAGAGGCCAGCATGAGAAGCTAAAAGACGGCCTCTTTATTACAATTAGTCCACCTTTGCAGTGCATAATGTTTATGCTCCTCGTGTAGAGTTGTAGATGTACGGAGCTCATCTTAGCTCCTTTGTTCTTCTCCTCTCCCCGCGTCTTTCCTCTCCCTCCATCTCTTGGTCCCTGTCCTAGTGAGAAGGCTCTGTCTCCCTGCTTCCTGTTTGTCCTTGATGGATCTTTTGGTTTCTCACAGAAGAGAAACCTTGTGACATTTCAGCTTGTGGGCTTGGAGCTGGGATGTCGTGCTCTCCAGGGGCCCTCTGCCATGTGAACACCACATTTTGTGTGTCCGTTCATCTGTTGGAGGATGGATTGTCCACTCGGTCACCACAGCAGTGCACCTCTGTGGCCACTGACAAATCACTTCCTCTCTGTGCAGTCTTCTCTCTTCCTCTGTGAAAGGGAAGGGGTAGACTAGAGCATTTCTAGCACTCCTGGCAGGTGCGATAGTCTGATGTTTGTAGAAGCAGCCAGGAAGGAGCCACCGTGGCGAAGGAAGGCTTTCTGACATCTCTCGCAACAGTAACCTTGCCTGGTCCTTCACCGCGGCAGATTTCTGGGCAAAAAGGGCTTTATCTTGTTCGTTTCTTTTACTATCATTATCCACCCAGGTGAATACCTCAAAAAGATTCCAAAAATGGTTGAGCAAAGCTTATAAACAGCCAAACAAAAGACTCATTTTGTGGCTGATTACGATTATGATTGTTATCATTACCACTGGCAGAGCTGGGGCTCAGACCCAGAGCGTCACAACGGCCAGGCAGGTGCAGTCCCGCTGCGTACTCCCCTGCCCTGATTATTATTGTTTGCTTTTACTTGAGTCACAAATAATCTGATTTTCTTGCTAAAAAGTACTCTAGAAAACAAATAAAGGTCTACATGTTTAGTTAATAAGAGTTCTGCTTTGCATTCAAATTATACCTAAAGGGAGAAACACATTAAAACAGTGAACAGGTAGATGCCAAAGCAACCCTCTGATAAAAAACACTATAAATCCCTGCAATGTCGTCAGCCAGCTGTGTGTATCACACATCTTTGCTTTGTGGATTCCACTACTTAAAATGAAAAATTCTGCATGAGGATCTCTCTCCCTTCTCTCTTGTAATCTTCCTCCCTCCTGTCCTATGGTGGTCAGCGGTGATTCTCCAAGGAGACGGAATCCCCGGCAGTAAACAATGTGGACACCTTCAGCTGTGCTTTCCAAAATCCACTTCCATGCTGGCCACACGGTAGAGTGGCCAGGCCTCCCAACAGGGACATCTGTGTCAGCGTGAGGAATACTTTTGTAACACAGAGTGTTTGGGAATTTCAAATAATTCGCAAGTCTTTTGAGAGGTAAATTGCTCAGAATGAAAATGATAAATGGACATTTATGGCCAACCACTATTAACACAATTAAACTAAGTGTATGTAAATGCAACCTCTGGACTCTGATAGTCAAGCAGCTTGCTTTTAAAATCAGACTGACTCAAGTGGGCACTTTAGTAGCAAGAGAAGGCCGTACCTTGATCCTGAGCCGTCGTCCCTGCCATGATAATCACAGGTACACTGAGAAGGACACGAAGAACTCACTCCCTGCAAAAAGCCAAGCGCAATGTACAGGCATGCAAGGAAGCACATGGCTCCTTCCAGAGGTTACTGCACGAATGGTAAAAGCCAACTCCTAAGCATTCAGAAAACAGTGCGCCAGGAACACAGGCAGTCCTCGAGGGACAGCAGATTACCCGGGATTAGCTGGGAGCCACAGGTACTTAACCTTCAAGTGTCTGTTCCGGGGATCAATCGACCCAGCCTCTGAGAATGGTTTGGCAAGAAACACGTTCTCAGGAAGTGAAAAATCAGACTCATCAGGGCAACTTCAATAGCTGTCCATATCTAGATTTGCAAAGAGATACCTACTAAGGCACTTTTCTGTGGATGCATCTGTCACCACACTTTAAAAATACATTTAATGTGGAAAAGAGTTCAGGGTCTTAGGTGGGAGCTAGGGAATTTGGTAGTTTATTTACATTGCATTAATGCTTTTATTGCATTTGCTTTTATCAACATGTGTTGTGTCATTCAGTTTTAAAAGATTTAGTTTTAAAGATAGAAACACGTGACACTAAATTGAACTACAGTAGACTTATCAGTGTTGCCCTACACTAGCCATCTCCAAAAGTAAGCTGAATCAAGTCCAGGTTACGGGGGGTTTTTTTAGGAAGAAGACAAAGCCTTCCTTCCATGCTAGGACAGCAGCTCCAGTGGGAAAGTCTTCCAGGGCCACCTGTCCTGTGTCTGAGCTCATCTAGCACGTGTGTTGTTAATGTAAGCAATTGCCTCTGCTCGAGAATGTATTTTTACTCCACACTAGTTTCCCAAGTTTGAGGCACCATATCTGAAGGCCCAGAAATATTAGGTTCTTTTTTTATTTTTTATTTTTTAAATATTAGGTTCTAATGGGAAATAAAAATTTAATTATTATAAAGTAACCTCCACACACATAAGTCAAAGAACCTCAGGGACAAGTAAGGTCTTAATCTTCTTATTACACACTTCTACGCATCATCTTTAAACAAAAAACATTGAGAAAAAAATCAGTTTTACAAAAATAAACAATATTATGAGAAATGCTACTGTAAACTAACAATTCATATACAAACTAAAGAATCTGAAAAACATCCAATTAAAATAAAGAACTCCAGCTTTTCAGATTCTAGACAATTCATTTGTTCAGCAGACATTTACTGAATACTTACACCATGCTAAGACTCTAAATAAAGGGGAGCAAAGATGAGTGAGACGGGGTCACTACACATAATGACCGCACAATACAAAGACGCACAGCGTAAACTGGGTATGGTAGCTCATACCTCTCACTCCTGAGGCTGGGGCAGGATTGCAAGTTTAAATGCAGACAAGGAAAGTCAAAGAATTTTGCAAGATGGACCAAAATAAAAAATGGGCTGTGGTTGTAGTGGAAAGTCCACAGTACTGTAGGAGAGAGAGAGAGGTGGCAGGCAGGAAGGTAGGGGAGAGAGCAAGGATTGGGGAGGAGAAAGGTGGAAGAGAAAGGGGCGCAAGGGTGCATCACCCCAGCCTGTGGGCATCAGGGAAGGCTGCCTGCAGGGTGCGCTCCAGTAGCTGCCTGTTGTAGGATGCACATTAGTTACTTACGGTATTAAGGACAGAGCATGAATAAAGGGAGGCAAGCGAGAAACAGAACGTTCTTCCCAAAGCACCATACTTCCTGCAAACCTGGCCTAAGATTCTGAAGCAGAAAGTTTAAGGGGGGTTGGTATAATGCTGGAGTGGTGAGGACAAGGGGATTGAGGTTACAGTCCTGAGCTGTCATGGTGTGTATGCAGTTGTCCCCCGAATCCTCCCACGCTCACAGTGTGGCTGCAGGAATGGCCAGGTCACAGAGGCTGATGCTCACGACTGGATTCATTCACTGATGCATTTGGAGCTGAATGTGATGTGAGGAGCTGATGCCTGGTCAGAGGAGGTGTCACTGTAGATGCGGCCTGGAAGGGTCTATGTCTTAGTTACTTTTTCATTGCTGGTACAAAAACCCCCAAGTTAAGGAGAAGAGGTTTATTTGGGTCCACAGCTACAGAGGTTTCAGTCCGTAGTTGGCTGGCTCCAAGGCAGGGCGACATGGCGAAGGGGCCTGGCAGGCGGGAGGCAGAGAGACTTCCTTCCTTTCCCTTTGTATTCCGTCCAGGCTGCAAGCCGATTGGCTGGTGTCACTTCCCACCCAGCATGGGTCTTCCCTCTTCAGTGATTCCATTGCCCCCAGACAGAACTATGCTAAGTCACTAAGTGGACTAATCTAGTGTCACATACCTATGATGCAGTTCACACCTCCACGATCTAGTTACTCCCAAGGCCTTGTCTATGAGTATGTGAGGCTCTGTGGGGACTTCTAGATGTGAGCCATCCTGCCTCCGAGCCAGCCAACGATGGACTGAAAACTCTACCAACTATAAGCCAGTCCACCCTGCCTGGTGACTCTCTTCTTTTGAGTCATAGGTATCAGATATTATGCCCCAGCGATGAAAAAAACAAAAAAGACTCAACCCATTAGGCAACAGAAGCAATAATGTTTCAGCCCAGGGGTCTAGTCAGCACATCAGGTCATCTTGTCAGGTAACAGGTTTGGCAGCTGTGTGAGATGGAGCAAGGAAGTTCTCATGTTTGTATCCAATAACTTTAGTCTGGAGTTTCCCAAAGGAAAAGGTAGCTAAACTAAAATTCTCCCCATTCATCTCCATGGAAGCAGCTTAAAACATCAGCTATACAATTTAAACAATCGTATACTGTGCTATATCTAACAGTCATAGAAATTTACACATATGATGACTCTATAAATTTATTTGACATTCAGCAAGTATTTATTGAATGCTTACTATATGCCAGACAGAAGATGCTACTTAGAAGTATTAACTATGTGATATATTGACCATGTGCTAAGGTTACATGAGAAGACAAATATACAAAAACTCCTGCTCTGATTAAACTTAATTTTAGTGTTAAATATATGGAAATACACATACAGAAAAATGGAGTTAAATTAGAGAATACATAATGAAGCTCAAAGAGATCATATATTTATATAAAATAGATATGTGCATTGACATGATTTAAAAACAATAATGTTTAATGTTCATTTGATTTTTGGTAAACATTAGTTAATAATTAAGTCTAAATTTTAAATTTTTGAAATGCTAAAAATATTTTTTATTCTAGCTGAGAACATCTGACAAATTTATGGGAGATTATTATGAATTCATTCTAAGATTAAAACAGGGGCTGTTTCTAGATTAACGGAGACCTCAGAAAAGTTACAGATCATCAACACAGTGCAATGTGTGCCATATTAAAAACAAGAAGAGGGACCTTAGTCACGTGCCCAGATTCACCAAAGGCACTGAGCGATAAATTTACATATAAGGAGACAACGAGCAGGACAGACAGCCAGAACACCGACACAAGACCTATGAATGGCACAGATGCACTCACAGTTTAATAGGACAGTAATCTACCTCTACACTCAACCTAAATAGGCCCATATTTAAAATAAGGTTGAGGTACTGGAATTAACACTGCACAAATACAACGTTTTGATGGTGTGTGCTTTGCTCTGATTTCAGATTCTCCCAGACGCCAAGGGGCTTTGAGATGCATCCATTGGTAGAATGCTCGCCACAGGCACTGCTTGGTGGGTCTGACATTGGAACATGGCAAACATTGCTCTCCGAAACCTACAACAAAGTAAAAAGTCTAATATTATCCTATAATGGCACAGAACCATGAAAGCCTTTACAAATGTAACAACCTGTCAACTGACACTTCCAAATAAATTTTGCCTCCACTTTTAACATGTTTCTAAGAACAACTATGAATGCATATTCATTGAAGACCAATTTTGCACCAACGATTGTCAGTTCTTGAGACATTTAATAGAATCAATAAGATGTAGGTTAGAATGGCACCCCAAATGTCAAGTGCAATGAGCTCTTTATCTGAACTAAAGATGCGGGTAGCATCCTCCCGACCTGAGCCAACATCCATTGATTGGCTCTGAGGGCTTGAAAATGCCTGACCTTCCCAAAGGGACTTCCAGCAGACTCTGGATTTCAAATGTGTTCTTTATTCTCCTTCTGGGATCTGTTTGGCCTTAGAATTGTTACGTTCATTCACATACCTGCATCTAACACATCCCACGCATGTACATAAATACACATTTAACACAAACAGTACTGGCATTCCAGGATCAAATTCTTGACCTCTGCTGAGTCTTCGTGGTCAAGGACCTACAGTACATTGGTCCATTTTCCGGCAGTGACAAGAGATGAAGTCATCTAAATGTCACTGAAGAGTTGGGAAAGGCACTTTGCTGAGAGTCCTACACAAGGTGACAAGGGCTTCTGTATGATTTGAATGATGCCCACTCCTGACCATCTTATGTTGGCACTGGATTATTCTCTTGCATTTAAAGGTCTTCTGTTTGGTAAATGTACAACTGTGCCACCTACTAAGACATCTCAGTGTCACCATGTCCACCCTCTGAATCACTTATTTGTTTGGAAAACACTATTCCATGGACTTGGAGTGGGGTAACCATTTGAACCAAACTGGTCAGCAGGGACTTTTCTGCCAGAGAACTGCCTGGGTGTTTGCTGGTAGAACTAGGTTCTTGGGTTACCCAAGCTCATCTCTGCCACCGTGTGGGAAGAGTTTGCACAAAACTGGAGCTCTGGGCATTTAATATCCTGGATACTGCTATGGTTGGCTGAGCCAAAGAACCTGACACCAGGTTGGAATGAATTTCTGTCACTTGCCGCTTTAAAATCTTAGAGCATCATGTTCTTAAGAGTATTCTCGTGTTATTTCTTTTAAAAAGCATTTTAGATATTACTTACTTTTTATTAGCAATAACATAAATACAGGGATTGTAGAAAGTGGAAGACTTTGCAAAGAGTGGGGCTATGATGGCCATCGAGGGGGAAATCCTCCTTGGGTCACCAAAAGAAGCCCATAAGCACACGATGGAGTAAGGGGACCATGCCACCAGAAACATCAGAATCATCACCACAGACATCTGGAAAAGAGACAGACATTTGCCGTGTGCAGCACCAAAAACATTTAAGTACTGAATATACCTCAGATAGCACAAAATTATCCAGATTGGAGTCTGAGGAAGTGCGTATTGTTTATGACATCACTACACTTTGTTTAGGTGCCTGAAGTCATCTAGGCTCCCAAGAGCCTGCCAGATGGGTATGGCAATCAATACATGCTTTTAAAAATGTTACACATATGTAGGAAAGTCTCTCTCTCTCTTTCTCTCTCTCTCTCTCTCTCTCTCTCTCTCTCTCTCTCTCTCTCTCTCTTCCTCTCTCACTCTCCATCTCTCCCCTCCCTCCCCATAGGTGATACTCTTAAAAACACTTTCTAAATTCAATCTAGAAGGAGAGTCCTATCTTGAGCCCAGTAAAGTCTACCACAGGCAATTTGAACTGAATATATTTTACATACAATGCAGATAATTTTGTAAAACAGCCCCTTTGCATGACGTTCAAATGGAGACATAATGATTTTTTACATGCCTCCTTTCTGACACTCCACTACAATGATAGAAAAGAAATATTTTTGGGGGGCTGAGGATTTAGCTCAGTGGCATAAGCGCCTGCCTTGCAAGCAGGTAGTTGTGAGTTTGATCCCCAGTACTGATAAAAAAAAAGAAAAAGACAAAAAAAACTTAAGAATAATATTTTTTTAAAAAAAACATAAACTCATAGAGAATCATAGATAGGAAATAACTTGTTTCTTAATGGAAATAATAGTGGCTAGACAAATGGCAAAGTATACTAGACATGAGAAGGATTCAAAAATACAAAAGAAAATGTTGAAAATAGCCAGCAGCAAGAGAACTCAGAACCACAGAAGCCTAAGAACTGAAGGTACCAGATAGCTCTGGACAGGGACAGGATGGGGTTGCATGTGGAACTTGCAGAGGGACAACTGGTTAAAATCTGCAAAAAGAGGCACATAGACCCCAGGCCCCTTCTGCAAGTCCCTGCTCCACTCAGAGACTGCCCCTCCCTCTCCCGGAAGAGTCAGAACCCCAGAGGCTCAGCCTCAAGACTAACGCAGGAACAGACACTCGGAAGGCAGAAGCTGAGCTCAGTCACTGCTTGTCCTGAAAAGTGGGGTGTCTTCTGCTGCCCCTGCCTGCACTTACAGGGACAGGCAAGACGGGCCTCCTAGGGGACTGCTCGGCCCAGGATAAAACACCTCGGATACAGTGAGAAACCCTCCAGAGGAAACAACCACATAATGAACACCTTTGGGCTGTCAACCGGCTTTTTAGAGCACCCCTCCTCAATGTGTGGGGACAGTTGTTTCCATCAGACCCTGAGGAGACACTGACAGGAGAGGAGAAACCGTGCAGGAACTTAGTGCATCCCCAGAACAAGCAGAGAACGGGGCAAAACTATAAACATACACATAATATTACAGAAGGAAAGATATGTGTCCATGGGACAAGAGGAAGCCATTAATAAGTATATAAACTTTTCATCTCTAAAGGTGGTTTTAGCCTAAGAGGAAAATGTTGGAGATGTAATATAAAGGCTGCCTGATATCATCAGGCTGAGGGACAGGGTCAGGACGAGGAGTTCTGTAAGTGCAGGATCAGATCTTATCTTCCACCAAAATTTTATATTTTGTTCACCATGAGTTTTACACAAATTTTAACTCCTCAAATTACTGTTTTAAACTAGTTTCTATTACTGAACGTTTTGGTGCTCACTTAAATTTGTATTTAGTGTAGCCCTTGTGGTCTTCACCCTCCACAGAGCACTGGATATGGTTACAGAAATCCTCCAGAAAACAAAACCAAAAAGAAACAAATACAAGGATGAACAAAGAGAGACAGTATAGGAGAGAAAAACAGAGGGAAAGCCAAAAAAATTAAATATCCCAGTAAAAGGATTTCCAGGTAGAGAGAATGGAGAGGACACAGGTAGGAATCACCAGAGAAACAACACCTCCCACAGGAGGAGGACCTGAGTCTCCACAGTGACCCTGTGAAGAGCGCACCCACCACCACGTGCTGAAGACTCCACCACGGCACGTGGGCATGAAAGTTAGCAGACAAGCCTGCAGAAGATCACTGAAGCTTCCAGAAAGAACTCCCGGATCACTACAAAGTATCAGTCACCAGACGCTAAGACCTTGGAAGTAAGAGACAGCAATTCCTTCAAAAATGCCTTCAAATGCTCTTCTGTTCACTGGAATTCTAGACCAGACAGACAATCGGCCAAACACAATAGCAGAATTCAGACATTTTCAGTTACGCAAAGCTTTAAAAATTTTCTACCCTTTGGAACATCCGGAACCTGGTGGAGAATATATTCCACCAAATCAGAGGAAATAAACTAAAACAAGGAAGATAAGCAAGCAGACAGAGGCAACGTGACTCTGCAAAGGAGCACAGGGATTCACAACTGTGCTGAAGGGAGTGGCAGGGAAGGCCGCAGCCACTCCGGGGCAGCTGGGAAGGACGCTCCAGGAGGACAAGGCGTCTCATCTCTGACCCGCTGAGCATCGGGAGAAAGGGAGAAGGCCTCTTATCTAGTCAAATGCTGTTAACCTGCTTACTGTCAGGATGGAGAGAAAGTGTAAGGCAGCTTGGTAGCGTGAAAGAGCTGAATCTTCATTGTTCATAGCAGAAAGTCCAGCAATGCTAAAACCCAGAACTACCCAAGCAGTAGATAAACATGTACCATAATTGGAAATATGGAGGCAAATGCCAGGGCAAAGGGCTTGTGAGTGAACACGGGGGTGGACAACAGGAGGCTGGGGCAAAGCCGCGGGACTCTCAGCTAGGCACTGATCTGAAAACTTAATTATGCAAAACCTTTCAAAGATCTGGGCTCCCACCTTTGTGACATCCACCTGGTCTGACCAGTCTCCGCTGAGATTAGGGGGGCGGTCACCAGCCACGTGGCGTCTGATGGCCCGAGTGATGTGCAGATAGCAGTAAAACATCACTGCCAAGGGCACGATGAAATTTATTGCGATAACCGTCATCGTATAAGACACAAAAGCTCTGAAATAAGGATAGGCAAACATGACTACTCATTCAACGTCCTAAGTGGGGGGAGGAAAAAGGAGAGATGGTTATTACAAATAACACTGATAATTTTTATTTATATGTTAGAAATTCTATTTGGCTTTTAGCTCATTTAGATCAAGAGTGGGTTAACCATGGCCAGTGGACCTGCTCCAACCTGCCAGCTGTCTCACTGTCAAACACAGCCATGCACACTCGTTTGCACGCTGTCTGGGCCGCTTCCACAGTGAGATGGCAGAGCTGGAATTCTCATTCCCCTTCATGAACTAAATTGTCCTCACTTTCCTGGAAAATACAGATCACTGTCTTGTAGGTGGCTTTTTGCAGTGACTGCTTTTTTGCTGTATGGCCATCAGAGTGGCCCAGGCCTTCACTGAGCTGCCTGCTCTCTACTAACCTTTTCCTATTTATGACCCTGACTCTGAGAAGCGCAGGTTTTAGAGGGGTGATTGACATCCCCATTGCTGCCTTGGAGAGGACAGACAAGGCAGGCAGGGCAGAGTAAGAGGGGCAGAGGGAGCTGGGTGACACTGCCTTGCAAACAAGCATGATTTCTACTTTGTACTTGCTTGGGTCACATTAGGACCAGGGAAGCACTTTGCCAAATTCTATGAGACACAGAATCTGAGCTTAAATGTGGAGCTGGGGAAAAGCGTACAGTATAAAGTGTGAACATGCACCATACACATCGTTTTTCCGCCAATTTATGGTACAGGTAGCCCCTGTAGGATCCGGGGCATAACTAGCCCATCCTATGATGGGCATCAAAGCCCAAAACAGGCCATTGATCCAGGCCCCCAGAATCATGCCGACATAACTGTGGGAGGTCATTCTTCTTCCTGTGAACAAGAATATGGAATATTAGCATGATGAGAAAGGGAGGCACTCTCTGTTTTCGTTGATGATTCAAAGCTGTTACCAAGTACATTCTTTACAGAATACTTTAGTTCCTTCAGAACTTATGTACATGAATTTATTTTCTGGAAACATAAATGATATTTGAGCTGAAATGTGAACGATAAACAGGACCGGCCAGAGGATAAGCCAGGAGAGTAGTTTTCCAGGCCACAGAAAACAGCATTTGCAATGGCTTCGGAGAGGAAAAGGGTGTGGCCAGAGAGAGAGTGGTCCTAGTCAAAGCTGGACAGGTAGCTGGGGCCAGATCACGTAGGGCCTTGTGGGCTGTCATGTACAATTCGATTTTATTTAAAGTATGACAGGAACCCAACGAAACTTGTGAATAAGCATTGCCAAAAAAATAAGACTGACCCTGATCACAAACCGTATGTTTGTATTTTGAAGCAAATGTCTGTGGAGTGCCGTTAGGCAATAAATAGCTTCACTGAGAGAATCGAGAGAAGAGCCGTACCTATGTCAGGACGGCAGATGGTCAGATAGCGATCCACGGCCACCACCGTGAGCAGCCCAATGCTCGCCATCCCAAAGAAGATGTTCAACCCGGCATAAACCTGAAAGTCAAAGTGAGAAGAACCTGCAGTTCCAAAGGCCCTCTCCAAAACATTTAAACTGTTGTCTCGTTGTTAGAATATACTTCAAACATATTCAAGTTTTTACGTTACTATTTAAAAATACATCTTCCGTTGTCAAATTTGTAACTGGTTTAATAAAAACATGTATGGAAAGTTTTCAGATTTTATTAATTAAATTTAAAAAATTTTAAGACTTAAGGCAAAATTTGGATACCAACATATCCTACAAATAAAATACAAAATGAGCCATAAATTACATGCCTAAAATGCATATAACCAAAAAAGCTTATTACTCAAAAGAGATAGTTCAACGAGAGTAAAAGTTAAACTTAATAGAAAAACAGACAAGTGCTAAGTGGGCTATTCACATAGCCCATTTGAATGTTGATGATGTAAGATACACAACCATAGTAAATATTCAAAGAGATAAAAACTGTATCATTCCACACTTATAAAAATGATGAAAATTTAAAAGTCTGACCATACCAAGTGCTAGGGAAAATGTGGGGAGGCAGAAGTTCTCGTACTTGGAATAACCACTTTGGAGAACACCCTGGCAGAGCTAACTATATGGAAGACGAATGTTCCCTGCTGTTCACCCCACCCCCAGGCAACACCTCCAGAGAAATCCTCACATTGTGAGGCTCTCCATGCTGAGAATATTTACTGAAGCCTCATCCGTGAAAGAGAAAAGTCTCAGAACAAGTGCTCCATAACAGGAAAATGAAAAAGAATATGGGACTTTATTCAGACAATGAAATATGATATCAAAATAATTGACTTAAAGACACACCCATCCCATAGATAAATCTCAAAAATAGATTAACAGTGACAGGACACTGAAATGCCAGCAGTGATCCACTTGTACACAGTTTTCAACATTCAGATGATATCTGGCTTCTGCATATAAAATATGTGCTAAGAAAAGTGTTCACAGGAAGAAAGGGAATGTGATTGGCCATGACATTTTCTATGTTTTAAAAGAAAAACAACCTGAAGCACAGATTGAAAACCTCAAGTTTGACAAACCTGGTTGGTACGTAGACAGGCATTGAGTATTTTTTGTTACTCTGAGTTTATTTCTTATAATTTTATGGTCTATAAAAAATAGACTGTCATGTTTTTCTACTTGCCTCACATAAATTAATATGAATTCATTTCTTCATTACTAAAACTAATATTACTAAACTAAGAGTAACTATATTTACTAACAATTATAATGTACAATGTATAATGTCTAAGAAAAAATCAAAAGTATGATGTCCTAACTGTATTCCTCAGGTATGACATTGTTTGAAATGAAAGGAGGGTGTTTTTAAAATTTTTACATTACCTAAATTTTATTGGAAAATGCAGAACACCACACTTCTTTGTTAGTTGAATGCTGGTTGCTTGCATGTTCCTTTGAGCTGGGGAAATTTTGAAAACCTAATGATGACTGGTGATCTTATTTCTCTTCTTAAAGAATGCATCCTCAGTCACTCGTGAAGTACTCTATCATTCTATGATATCTTACTTGATGTGAATTCTTGGGATTTTAAAAGACACTTAAATTTACATCTCCTTGATCTACTTTATTGTGCTTTTTGATTCCAAAGCTCTCCAATACCTGACAACCTGCATATCCAAATTTCCAGCTTCCATGCAGATCCGAAGCAGCGGACATGGGGTAGCCGATGCTACTGACCCCTATGTCTGTCAGAGCCAGGTTCATGATAATTGCGTTCGTGGGGGTTCGAAGTTCCTTGTACTTAATGAAGATGCCCAGAACAATTATGTTGCTGAGAATACTTATCAGACCTGAGAACAGACAAAAATATCATGCACTTCATTTAATTGAATGCTTGAAAGTGGACTCACAATGAAATATTTAAGCTCCTTCATGGACATAGCAAATCCATTTTAGTTCACTTGCTTGAAGAGTTCCTGCTTCTCTTAAACCTGTTTGTAACATCTTTAAAGCTTTTGTGTGAGACAGAAACAAGAAAATTCAAACACAAAGAACCTGCTGGTTGCATAAGCCAACACTGGAGGCTGGTCTGCATGGTGTCACTATTGACCCCTCTGTCCCCGGCAATCACGTCATCCCCACTGATTTCCAGGATGCAGACATGACCGACCACGCCCTCACTTTGGATAGCTTAATCTCTTCCCCTCCTTTGCTGAAGCCTGCAGCTTTTGTTTCTCCTACAGTTTCCTTTCTCAAGCTTCACTTCTCACTCTGTCTTAACAGCCTTTTTGTTGCTCTTTTTAGCCCTGACATATGCCTCAGTTTCACAATTTATCTTCATTCAACTCACTGCCATACACATTTAGTAAGCACCTGCCATGTGTAAGATCATGTGCCTGTCCCAGTATTATACCATGTCCATGGTCAACCTGTCTAAATCTGAGTTCTTCATCTAACACATACCCTTAGATAAGACTTCTCACTTTATGATTTGACGGTCCAGGCAGAAAGTCCAGCCAGCCTTCTGGTCCACTGGGTGATAGGTATCACCCTACCCAGGTTTCCACACGGGGATCTGTCTCAGCCTTGCAGTTTAGAGCTTGGTTTTGCTCTAATCTCAAGGAGACTGATGTCTAAACTTATTAACCAGAATGTTAGTCTGTCTCATTTATGATGAGAAATACCATCTAGTGGACCAATGTGCATGGTAATCAGGTCAGCATCCCCTATGTGCTGCAAAGGATGCAGAAGTTTTCCACAAGCCAGATGTGAGCCATCCTAGGTCCTAATGGTCAGGGTGGGACAGGAGTAGATTTCAGCAGAGAGATTGGAAACCTTATCGTACTCTTAGCGACTAAAGAAAGGATGTGCACTGAGCAGGAACGAAGTTAGGCTTCCCAGGAAGAGAAGTGCAGAGGGAGGGGAGGTTTTCACACCCCAACACACAAACGCATCAGCTGACTAAAATCTTCTACTGCATCTTGGCACTGTGGTCAAAGCCTCCGCCCAGCATCCTACGGCATTCATCTTCCTGATCTCCATTCTCCTCCTCGTACCGCTGGCAGAATGAGCTCAGTGCAACACAGAATTAACCACAGATTGTCTTGAAACGTCTGCTCTCCCCACTGCTGTGGGACAAAAGCCCAGTGTGCCCCCCGGGGGGGCTGCTTGTCCCCATCTGCTGTCTCTGCTTGAGGCTCCACGCTTGCCAAACAAGCCCTGCATTCTAGTTATTCATCGAGCGCACTGGGCATCTTGACTCATGTTTTTCCCACTTGAAATTCTCTACTCCTTTCCTGAAAATGTCCAAAACCCAGCTCTCTGCCAAAGTTCAAGCCCAATTCAGCCCCAAAGTACTGGGTGCTCTCTTCCCTGCACACCCAGTACTTAGGTAAAAGACAGTGGATCTTATGGGATGCTGTGTTACTGAATTATTACACATTCCTCACCTTCTCATGTGGGTTTTAAGTTTTTGATTAATTCAGTATCCTTTGAGCAACACATATATAATTTACTTAATAAATGGACCATCCATAGAACTCTGAATTAAGCTTAATTGCTATTATTCTTCAGACACAGTTAACACACAATGATAGCAGATTTGATGCTCTTTGGTCTTATTTTAGGCTCTAATATTGTAGCCCGCGTACAAGAAATATTGATAAAAATGAAAAATTTTTTTTCAGGCTAGCAACAAGTCTGATGAGTTTAAAAGTCAAAGAACATAGAGTAGTAAACTGTCGCCTACCAAGTACACAACCTGAAGAGCAACAGAAGATAAAAGTTGGTGAGGGGGGTGGCGAGGAGGATATTGCATATCACAGGGATGTAGCACAACTTCAGCCCTTTATTCTCTGTGCAGCTCTCTTACATGTTCTGTGTTCCTAGATGTGGGCGTCTTCTGTCAGGAGACATGTCACAACAGTGAGGCCTGAGCTGCGCCTGTTCTCAGGCTGTCTGTCTGACTCCAGGCGGCTCTCACTGACGCACTCCTCTGCCTGAAACATTTCCCTCGGCCGGCAGCCCTGTGGCTTCGCTCAGTGCCAGCGTCTCCTTAATGTTATGGAACTGTTTTTCTTTAACTCTGTCTTATTAAATATGTGAACTGTCCAACTTCAGGCCCTAGATCCTGTCTTTTCTCAATAAGTACGTTTTCTGCATGATTTCTCTATATCCGAGATGGATGTCATAAAGCTCAAGAGCTCAAGTCCAGATTCTGATGGGGCCTCTCCCCCGGCCCCCAGCCTGTCTCGCAGGGCCTGGAGAGGTCCCAGCTAGGGGAACGGTCCCACCAGCTGCAGCCCCTTAAGTGCTCTAGCTCCCTCTTGGGGCCTCCTTGCATCTGAGCATGGGCTGCTCCTCCCAGCTCTTTAATGGACCTGCGGCCTTCAGTCCGAGGCCTCCTCTCCTCCCTCCTGGGCATCAAGGCGGCCTCTACCATGCGCTGCCCGTCTGTCTCCCCCTCTCATTTCACTGTGCAATTCATCCATAATAGATTCTTTCTTCCGATTTACCATAACCTTTTACTTCTGGGTCCTAGCTGAAAGATTAAAGAGCAAAGCAGAGGAAGATTGTGCCAGAAAAGGGAGAGGGGTCAGGAGTGGAGGGAAGGCGGAGGACACCATCAAGGCGCTGCCCTGCATTTATGGAGCTGTCGCAAGGAAACTCGAGTTCTGCGTCACTAAGACGTACTAATAACCGAATAAAATCGGTCAACAGTTGACCTGATCAGGCCCCTGGTACATGTAACAAGTGAAATAAATGTTTTCACTGCCTGCTTCTCAAAGTTTTGACTTGGATTTTGTTAAACTAGAAAAATCAGGGGATCTGAAGAACAGAACTGAGAATCGAAATGCCTCAGTTCAAATCCAGGAGCAGCCACTTAGTAGACGTGTGTGTTGGGCACGGTTAACAGAAATAGAATTAAAAAGTAACTCACTGAATTAGTGGAGGGATGAGTTATTGTGTAAGGATTTGGAGCAATGCTTGGTATACAACAGGAATTCACATAAGTTTAGTAGTGGCACAAGACTATTATGACTATGTCCATTATAGGGATGAGAACCAGATGGAACATTTTCTTGGGAAATTTCCTTTTCATGCTACTTTTGTAAATCCAACCAATTTTGGATAGCTTTCCTAGGTTATCTATAAAAAATTAGCTAAACCCAAAATATTATACACAAAGCATTTCCACATAAGTCTGAGGAGACTGTCATTTTTTCTAACAACAAAACAAGGAAAAAGAAAGAACATGTCCTGTAATTATCATACAAAAGTATTCAAATTAAATCATTAACATATTATTAAAATTAGCTAATGAAATTCACAATCTCTAGCAAAAGTAGTAACTCTGTGAACTACAAGGAAAAAGCATGATTATAAGGAAAAAAAGATTTGCTATACTTTTCACTCCACTTTTGAACGTTTGAAATTTTTCATAAAACTTACATAAAAATAATGAACCAAATGAGTTATTTCTAAAATTTGTTACTAACTATAAAGTTGGAAATAAACATAACTGCCTAGTATGTTATACCACAACTGCTAATATGTTGACAAAGACAAGAATTTCTACTGTCACCTCTTCTAACCCTTTTTGTCCACAAAGACTTTATCAGAAATACAGTCCAACTCGTGCTGCTTCATTAACGTGTGGTTGAGTCACTTTCACGACAGTCCTAAGTAGCTTATTCTAAAGAACAAAAGGCAAAGGAACTGGCTTGCAATTTCAAAGATGCTAAAAGGCAAAATCCAAAGCTCAACACTTTCTGGAAGGATCTGAAACGCTCTGCTCCTTTGGGAACTTCAACTTTCTTTCCAGAACGTTTCAGTTTTCAGCTAAATTCCACCATCCAAAAGAAAAACTGAAAGTTATGTATGAGAAAAGCAAACTGATAGAAAATACTTTTGCCATGGTAGGCTTTTTCGCCCAAAAGACTTAATCTGACAATCAATAACCAAAGTTATGGTTGGCTTTTTTTTTTTTAATTATTTTATAAAAAAGTTTCACAGCCCCACTTGAGTGCACTCAGCTTATTCACTGCAATCTCCGGAACAGTACCTACCATTAGCCAGGCTCGTTAATTCTCTCACACTCGCCTTTGCTCTGGAGTGCAGAGACAGAGGCTAATCCTCCTGATCTATCCCCTGAAAGAAGTGACTCTTTTTATGCTATGTATGTAACATCATTAGAATGTGATTTTTTTCAGCCTCCTGCTGAAAAACCCCAGCTTCCCTGACTGGTGCTAGGGTGACAGTCGTACCTGCCAGAATCAGGTAAGCCGCAACAATGTTGTGTTCCGTCTGCGAAAAGACCGAGCCATCTTCATTTTTAGAGTCTGAACTGTTACCTAAACTGTGCCTTAGCATTTTGAGGGGGAAGCATTGAGGCGGCCTTCATAAGCCTTCCTTAATTAGGACCCGTTTTGAGGACCAATCATTTCCACTCAGAGACCTCAAAGAAGGGCCTTTTCACTGAGGCCCTTCCTTAGATTTAACGGGGGCCCTCCCGGGGAAAGATGTTAATTCCCAGAACCAGGGAAAGCTTATTAGCAAAACAAAGGAACACTGAGCACCACAGTTCCCCCAGTTTGGGCCTCAGTCGTGTACACAGATTATCAAGCGCACACCCTGTTTCAATGCTAAACAAAGCCCCCAAACTGGTGCAGGCGCTGACCCAACTGATTTCTGCCTGAAGTTAAGAACCAGACTTAATTAAGTCTCTCTAACTACTTAGATTAAGGGCCCTGTTTTATGCTGATCCTATGAGCTTTTCCATTGCAGGTTCCTTAATCTTTTTCTTAACAATTTAAATGCCGGCAGAGTAGTATCTCCCCATACTTTCGCATCTCACTTGCTTATGCTTTTCATTGCTTACATAGATGTGTATTAACACAAACATTCATGCAAGAGGTTGAGGTTTTTACTAACGTCTGTGTATTTCACAGTATAGCACGGATATGCCGTGATCTACACCTCCGCCTGCCTCGTTTTATTTACCTACACCTTATAGGCACGTGAGCAATTAATTTACCTGATGATAGTACACATCAGCCCAGGGCCCACAGTCAGCCAATCACCCCGTAAGTACGCAGCATTCTAACGTTCTAGATTACCATGTGCTTACCTGAATAGTGGGTTACAACTAATATGCGCCCCCTTTGTTAGAATGTATCCTCACTACCCTTTTTCCATTTTTTAATGCTATTTGACATCATTAAAATGTGATTCTTCTCAAGCATCTTAAAACCTGTAAAACTTCACAGAAAAGCTTAGACACACCAAGTAGTGTAAGCACCTAACAACCACCGGAGGGCTGTATTTGTCCACTTACTGAGGTTGATTTTATAACGAAATGGTGTACGAGGAGCCCCAGATAACTTTTTGTCCTCAACTCATTATGAACCCCAGATGACACACTGACTGATCTGCTCCCAAATTCTAGAGCTGCAAGACTCCTATGTTTTGTTTTTTTTCAGGACTCAAATTTCCGAAAAGGAAAACTGGAGAGTCCCTGTTCTAGGGAAGTGAATCTCATCAGTATCCCACCACACAAAATATTCTCAGTAACTCAAAAGCAATGAATGCAGGAACTCTCTTTTAAAAGCCTACTGACTGTTGGGCTTTACATTTTTTTATTTTTCTTATTTAATATGCAAAACATAAAATCTAAAATTTTTAAATTTACTTTGGTTAATGTTCCCTTTTCTATATTATACATACTTATAGCAACCATTCTCAGCTTTCCAGAATTATTTCTACAAGAATTGAAAAAATAAAAAGAATTCCAAAAGATGAGGATTAGAGACACACATGTGGTACGTCAGAACACTTTTTCATTATGACACAGAAAAACTATTGGGATGAGAGGTTTACACATCCTAAGAAACAGGTCTAGATTTCTCACAATTCTTAAAATTTCATATCCTTTCTAAATCATTCCCATATCAATCTTTCTCTTACAATTCTTCCTAAAATTTTAGGAAAAATAGGAAATATAAATGTTTGTATTTCATTGAACTAGTTCCTTATCATAGCATCAAGTATATTTTAACAAAGTGTCGTGTTCTGTTTAAATGTCCCCCCAAAGCCTTTGTAGTCATGGAGGTGGCTGAATCTAGCATTTGTGATTGGTTTGTCGTCTAGTGCTGGGATTGGCCGGCAGTGTTGCACTCACCCAGAGGTGGGGAGTTGGCATGCAATATAATGAAGGGAAGGAGGAACGCCTTTCCCCTTCTTGCTTTTTTACCCTGTTCGCTCTTGTTGCTTTGGGCCACCATGGACAGTTGCCCTTCAGCCACACCATCCTGCCTTGGAGCCAGCTGAGTACGGACTGAAACCTCTACAGACAGTAAATTTAAATAAACCTTTTCTTTCCTAATTTTGGGCATTAGGTATTTTGTCTCAGCAACGAGAGAAAAGTAACCAAGACAGAAATTGGTACCACAAGTGGGATTGTTGCTCTGACTGTATCTGACACGTGTTCAGGAGCCTTTGGAAATGGTTTGTGGAAAGAGTTTGGAAAGGTTCAGAGATGTCACCTGAAAGAGTATTCCTGGAACAGCTTAGGCTGTTCTTCTGTGTAGGAGATTCTGGTCAAAGCTCAGGAGAACAGAAGGCTGACAGAAAGCCTGCTGATAAAGACCAGGCTCACGAGGATTCTGCTGGGAAGAAGGACTGCATTGGTTGTTGGATTTCACACGATGTGTGCTATGGCTTGGCAGAAAGTTTGTCTGCATTTTGCTCATGTCCAGAGACTTTACCTGAGATGGAAAGTAGTGTGGGTAGTGGATTAACTAATCTAGCAAAAGAAATTTTAAGGCAGTGGCATGGCTATGGTTGGGGCTTTTAGCCAGACTTATGTTGTGAATCAAAAGCGAAGAGCCCAGCAGGATGATTTAATACGCTGTTTGATTTAATATGCCAGAAAGGAAGCTCCAGTAAAGCTATAAACTGTAAAGACAGAGTTGAGATCTCAACTGCTGAGAAGGAACAGGAGAAAAAAAAAAAAAAGATGGCCTGTAGGCATCGTGGGAAGCAGCAGCATTTTGCAGCCTTAAAACTGCAAAACTGAAAGACTGCTTGGAGGAGAAAGCTGCAGAGCATGTTCCCAAATGGTGGCAGAGGCCACACCAGGTTCCAGAATGGCAGTGGTAAAGAGAATCTGTTCCTCACAATCAAGATCAGAGCGCCCAGTGATCCAGGCACTTGACCCCTACGCCAAGAGAGGGGAAATCCTGGCCACTTGGTCGCATTCCTGTGGTTGGCAGCAGACCTTGGTAGCATTCAGGTGGTTTTAAGAGCACGCAGAATGCATGAGCTCTGAGGTTTAGAAGGCTTCCACTCCAATTTCAGAGGGCCTGGGAGGCCAGGCAGTGTGTTGCTAAGAGTGCAGTGTGTGAAGCCGTGAGCGAGAAGCCAAAGGTGCAATAGAGAACCCAGCAGTTCGGAAAGGCGAGGAGTGTGCATCACCCCAGGAAAGCTGCAAGGACTGAGCAGAGTAGGCTAAGAGAGAAGCTGTGGGAGCCGAACACCCTGGAAGTGATGTGGGGGTGGAGTCACTCAAGCCCTCTGGAGCTCATACGCAGTTTGCTGCAGACGCTGGACATGCAACTCCAGCGCTTACTTCGTTTGCCCTGCTGGATTTTAGACTTCCTTGGTCTCATTCCTTCATATTCCCGTTTCTACTCCCCTATGCAATGGTAATGTTTGTCTTGTGCCATTGAATGCTGGCAGTGTTTGTTTTCGTTTGTATAGGAGGTTACAGCTAAGTTTGCCTTAGATCTCAAGGAGACTTGGGACTTGCAACTTTTTAGCAATGCCTAAAACCCTTAGCACTTTAGCAACACTTGGAGATGGACAAAATGTCTTTTACATACATAAAGGATGTGCATGAGTCTTTGGGCCAGAGACCAGAGGTGGAATGTTGTGGTTTGTTTAAATGTCCAACCCAAAGCCTCATGCAGTCATGGAGACGCTGAATCTAGTGTTTGTGATTGGTTTGTTTCCTACTACTGGGACTGACAGTGAGTGTTGCACCACATAGGGACAGGGAGCCAGCATAATGTAAGGGCTTTTCTCTTTTTACCCTTACTCTTGTGACTTTGGGCCACCATGAACAGGTGCCACTTCAGCCATGCCACCCTGCCTTGGAGCCAGCTGAGCATGGACTGAAACCTTCAAAAACTGTGAGCTAAATAAACCTTCCCTTCCCGGATTTTGGGTGTCAGGTATTATCTCAGCAATGAGAGAAAAGTAACCAAGACACCATGAATGTGGCCAGAAAGTTATTAAACTCAGAAAGTGTAAAATGTGATCAAACTCTTACAACGAAACTCAATGATCATTACGACACTACTGTGTTAAGTTCATAAATATGTGAACTTGATTCAAAACGAAATGCCCAAACCTACAACTGTCCAGTAAGGACAGAAAGGGAAAAACACTTGGAATTATAAACAGTTGAAAGTGGCCAATGGCCTTCACTAAGGGTAAAGGTAAATTCTCCAAATGGTCTGCTCAGGTTTTATGTTTCTGACGCTACGAAAAACTGCCCTGTTATTAGCGCCGTGGACAAGGTCATGCTCCACTAAGCGCCATACATTTACAAACAGGAGTAAAAACCTTGGCCCTGATATTCAACAGTCACCCAAAGGACTCTAAACCAAGAAGGTATCTTTTTAAAATTATAAAACACACCCACCTCTTCCTGTGATATACACCTAGGACTTATAAAGTTGTTACTATTGCAATTCCACTAATCAAAAAGGCTAAGGAAATTCCAAACAGTGCTGTAAGCAAGATTATATGCTACCCAAATGCGCACTGAAGGTAATCACTCAAGAAACTTAACAATAAATTCTGAGCAACAACAAAAGAGAGAGAGAAAAATCACTGACAGTTGGCAAATGGTCCCAGATCACAGTATTCTTGTATCATGGTTATTTCTTGACACTGCAATAGTAATGGTGACCAAACTCAGTTTCATTTGGGATGTTCCTACCTAGGAATCTGCACGTAGACCAGGCCACCAGTATTTGTTTAGTATGAACAATATTTGTCTTTATTTAAAAAATGCAATTCAGTTAAACTTTCGATGGCCCACTCAAGGTGAATGGGCCTAACCCTAACCCTTCTTTGGAAACTTCTTAACTATATATAGTTCTCTCATGAGTAGATACTAAATTGTAATTGATTAGTAATAATTTTATATCAATTCTAATTACAGAAACTGTGTTACTCTATGTACTGAACACAAAAGGACATTAATGATCTCACAACAGGTCAACCTTCTAAAAGGGATGTTGATTTATAAATAATTTTCTCTCTCCCACAGCTGTTTTTGTAACATACCAGTAATACATGGAAACAACTTTTCTTTTTCTGTCTGTAACTCACTGGATTTAAGTGAGGTGCTTCTCCCAAGTTCAAAAATAGGCTTTGTTCAATAAATACACTCTAAATAATTTAAAGAAATAAAACATTTTATTTTAAAAGCCGAAACACGATTCCAGTGACAGCTCCTGTCCATGTATGAAGCACCCACAGAGTGCCGGGCACTGTACAAAGTAGCACCCGTGCTCATGCTCTCAGAGCAAAAGTGACTCCCTCTCCTGCCCCACCGTGCTCACGGGACACTGACTTCAGCCCCAACGCGGCCAGGCAGCCACGCCCTGGAGACACCGTGGACGCAGACGCACAGGTTAAAGCAGAAGTCCCTGGAGAAGTCGGAAGCATCTAATGTCCTCTTCCTGTTCAAGAGAAAATTAAAGGGTTAAAGAGAGCCGAGAAGGGCTCTGCACAGGTACGTCACCAGAGGTCAGTGCGGAGTGGCGTTAGTTCCCACAGGGCCTAGTAAATTTACCTTGCCAAATGTAACCGCTACTCACAGCCAATGCTGTTATTTTCAAGTTAATAATACAGCAAACAAAGTTAAAAGAAGGTGAAAAATAAGAAAAGGAAAAATAAAGTCACATAAATTAAGGGTCTAAATTAGGCTAAAGCAAAGAGCAGCGTTCCACATACTTGCTGGCAGGGAGAGATGAATGTAAACACAAAGAGAAGCCAGCAGCCCACCCAGCTCTGAACCGTTAGGCACTTGAAGGCCTTTTTCTCCTACCTCGGAACCCACCACTGCCTCTTGCTCCTCTGAAGCCTCCGCCTCCTCTTCCACCTCTGAATCCACCTACAAGAGAAGGATTTATTACACCCTGCTACGCCTACCTGGAAACTACCACTCCTATAAAAAACACAGATTCACCTGCACCACCTGACAGATTTTGAAAGACAAAAATGGAAAAACTGTAGGCTTCCAACTGGGTGGAGTAAGGTGAAACCCTGGGAAGGCATCTTTAAAAAGCTAAGCCCCCTTGAGAAGTGGGAAAAGCTTGTTACTTGCAAGGGTGATTCAGCCCTATTCACAAATGTCTCCTTACGTTGGCTTTGCTCAACATAAACACTTTTTAATAAGGGCGGCTTTGATTGGACTGAGGCTGTTTACTCCAAGAACAGAGGGTGGCAAAGGTGAATGGCTTTCATGGCTCACCTTCCCGAGCTACCTATGAATGGCAGCTGACGCTCACGGCCTGGCCCCTTAACAGACCCTCTGCAGCGTCCCGAGCTAAGCTGGCAGGCTGTGCGGCTCAGGGTAATGGAGCGGCTTCTGGCTTACACTGTCATCAGTCTAAGCTGGGATCACTGGGATGTGGGCCCACCCTAAGGCGAGGAACACCCAGACTGGTAAGAATTCCTGGCACAGAGGAATACAGGGGTCTTCATTCGGGGCCCACCCAGAATGGCTGGATTATTGCAAATTAACTTCTATGAGACCATAACTCCTCACACCTAAGATAAGGATCCACCTCCCTTCAAAATTTGGAAGGTATTAAAAAAAAGGTATTAAGAGAATACAAGGCCAGCTCAGAATATAATCCACGCTCAATAACAGTTAGCTAAGAAACTAAAATTCAGTTACAATAATCTTAAGCCAGTCATGCAATGCACGTTTCAGTCATACAAGACCCTGTATAAAACGGTGACCTCCCAAAACTAACGGAGCCAGAATCTCCTTCCTCCGGGTAACACCGGAGAGCACGCGGCCTTCCCAGGTCTGCACCAACACTAGGGTAAACACACTGATGCAGAGCAGCTGTACAGAAGTGGAAAACGCAGCTCTGCAGAGCACATGGGGCCCGATAATGGCTAGAACCAACTAGGGACTGGTCTCTGTACTTACTCTTACTGTTTTCAGTGTACTTTCTACTTTGGGGGAGCACACCCTAGGATAATCTTAAGACGTAGCTCAGAAAGACCTACATCAGGCATAATGCACGATTACTATGGGCAACACACCAATATTGAAAGCAGCTTTACTATATATGTATGTGTGTGTGTATATATACACACAGAGACAGAGAGAGACAGAGAGAGAGAAGAGAGGAAGTTTCCTATTCACAAAAGTGAACTGTATGTAGTTCACGAGTCCCAGTCCTCTGGGCTCTGCAGTCCCAGGTCCCTGGTAACTCACCTCCTCTTCCGCCACCTCGGCCGCCTCCACCTCGGCCCCCGCCACGGCCTCCACCTCGGCCTCCCCTGGCGCCACCTCTGGGAGGTCCTTTCTCACCAGGTGGCCGAGGTAAAAACCTCTGCAGCGGCAGCAGCTTATAAGGGTCTATGTAAAACTGGAGTCCAAGAGAAGCAATCACTGTCACTGCCAGGAGTTCCCACCCCACAACCACCACTTACCCCGCCGGCCTCTGAGCAGACTTCCTGTTTTAGACCTTGGGCATTTTTTTCTTATCTTTAAAAATGTAAATATAAAGTATCCACTTTCTTTACAAACAGGTGACTCCCTAAAATGCTACATTTTCACTCAACAGCCATGAGAAAAATATAACTACCAAAAACTGGCAGTAAAATTCAAAAGAAAATAATGGCACAGCAGATATTTCAAGATTGTAATAAAGGCTCAATTAATTTCCTGAACATATTAGGTAACAGATGAGAGAGACTAAACCTCCCTTACACTGAGGGCTAAAGAGTCCAGTGGTAGGCAACGGAATACACTGCTTCTCAGTTCTTCACCAAGTCCCACTGGTTCTCCCTCCTACATGGTTCCTAAGTCCATTCACACTTCATTTCCATGGTCTCCAGCCTATCCCCAAATGCTACTGTGCTCCTGGTACTGCACCCTGCACTGCCCCCTTCCCAATACACTTTTCTCCTCCCACAGGGCCCAGTTAAAGCACAGGCTTAACTGCATTACCTATTATTTAAAAACAAACTCAAAATTAAAGCTCAAGCCCTTTCTCACACCCAAAAGCACTGAGTAATCCAGCCCCTTCCTGCCTGCCAGGTCTTAATTCCACAGGGCCAGTGCGGCCTCCCTTGGTCCCCAGGTGCTCGCCCTCTCACACACGCTGCACAGGCTCCTCCTCCTCTCTCTCACCAGCCCCTCTCTTCCCAAGGGCTTCGAAATTATTAAAAAAGCTTTTCCTTTTAAAAACTGAATCTTGGACCCTGCTTAAGAACAGGGTCAAACTCAAGGAGTGGGACCTAAAAAGTCATCTTGTAACTTCCTACCAGAATCGTTCCTGGTCACCTCTCGGGTCTCCGCTCTAAGAACACTTCCTCGGGGAAGGCTACCGGTGACCTGGGCCGGCTACCCACGTTCTCACAGTACCCTGTGCTTTCCCTTCACGGCATGCATCACGTTGCTGAAATATCTGTGAAATCCTTTAGGATCTCTCTTCTCTCAAAGAATGTTTTAGAACGTAATATTTTAGAGCATTTGCTAATGCAAGTTTTTCAGTGAGAGTTTTAAATAAGCTTGATGTTTACAATATACAAGTCTCAATTTAAGAACTTCACTAGTACCAGGCACGGGTGCATAACTGCAAATTTGGCTATGTGGGAAGATCACAAGTTTGAGGCCAGCCTGGACAACACAGCAGGACCCTGTGTCTCAAAAAAAAAAAAAAAAAGGCGGGGCCAGAGATGTAGCTCAATGTGAAGACACTGGGGTTACCCCAATACTAGATAACAGGGAGGATTCATTAATGCAGGATCAGGGCTCAATTACCCCAAACAGAACTGCCCTAACGCATGCCACTCCCTTGTAACACCCAAGACCCTAAGTATGGCAAGCTTGACTCACCTTCTGTAGTTTTTTGAAGGAAGATGCCTTCATGTTTTCTGACAATTTAACTGAAAAATACTATCGATTCTGTTAAGGAACAAATACAAAGTTAAGATAAAAGAACTTAAATCTCCTGAATTCATATGTAACTTTTGAAACAAGGTTAATATGTACAGGCATATACAGGAAAGATAACACACGAACTTCCAGGAAGAAACGTTTTCTTCAAAAAACAACTCTTCCAATTCTTCCACACTACTCCAGGGGTCCCATCGTATCCAAAGCAACCGACTCAATCTTGTGGCACTAATGTAAATGGTCATGACTTCTAGATCTTTCCCAAAAGAAAGGCATCTTTCTAGAGTTCATCATTTCAGTAATCTGGATGAATACATTCTCCCCTCTTCATTCTCCTTATGATTCAATCTCTAGTGGCACTTTTAATTAATGAGGCAAAATTGGTTCAATTTATACTTCACCATCACAGGAAAGAAAAACAATTACAAAGGATACAAAATCTCTAAGTTGCCCAAATATTTCATCCACTTTTCCTATTTGTTCTTTATTTTCTAAGTAAACGGGAGCATTGAAATAAGGCACCTTATTTTCATCTGTGGTACATTTACAAACAATGTCATCTTCACAAGGATGCAGGAACTCTCCCAATACTGAAACAGGACACAAAAATATTAATATTAAAACACGCAACTCCTTCCAATGCTATTAACTGATCTCTCTAGAAGCTTTTTTTTTAGCTACCTTGAGTTTCACTGTATCTGTTCTCTGCAGTAGAAAACTATTTAGATACCAGCAGTGTGGGGTTCCTGAGCTATCAGAACAGCTATGCAACAACCTACAGGAAGGAACTCTGCCTCTCTCTGCTCTAGTGTCCTTAATAATATACGAGCAGCATCTACACTGATGACATGAGAACGTCTAAGTAGCACCTACCCAACACATGATTAAGTGAGTAACAGGTGCTAGGCTAAGGGCATACACCCTGTGACAGTTATCTTGTTATAACAATTATGATTTCGTTATACACATTTCACTCTACTCCCTTTCTTTCCTTTACTTCAACTACTAATGTGAACCATCCTCTGTATTTACCTTTTCCTCTTCCTTCCTTAGAACCCATCCTTATGATGGTCTCTTTACAAACGATCCCTTAATGGCTCTCAGGGAAGTCCAGAATCCCAAAATAACTTTTACTTCTAGAACCCCAAACTAAAATACTGTATGCCTGCAAAACTGACTCTCCATCTCTTTCGTTCAAGTTCAAAACCTAAAACTGTTTATTCCCAATACTATTGTTTCCTCTTAAATTTCTCTCCTATCTAAACTTCCACTTCTTACCGCCCCACCCTAAGTCAGGCTCTCACCCTGTCAGGTGTAAACTGCTGGATCATCGCTAGCGGGCTGGGGCCTTTGAGTTGAGCTCCCACCCCTTCGGCCTCCAGCAGTCTTCATGTAGGAGCCTAACAAAAAGCCTTCACTCTGCATCTCAGTTTTCTCACCCGTTATAATGGGAGCAAGCGCCCGAAGTTGCCTAACCAACCTCCTCCCCTTTCTGCTAAACCTCTAATTCCACCTCCACCGTGCACTCAGGCCCCTCCGGCTTTCTCGATCTCCCCAGGGCCCCACGGGGCAGGCAGCCCGCGCCCTCCCACTTACAGACCACTTGCTCCGGGGGTCCTTGGTCCTGGCCCTTGTTGAAGCCCCCGCGGCCGCCGCCTCGTCCAAACCCGCCTCTGCCACCGCCTCGGAAACTGCCGCCGCCGCCGCCGCGGAAGTGGTTGCTGCCGCCGCCGCCGCCGCCGCCACGGCTGAAGCCGCCGCCCCGGTTAAAGCCCCCGCGACCTCCGCCTCGAAACGACATCTCGGGGCTCTGCTCGGCAACCGCGAAAGGGAGCAGTGAAAACGGCGCCACCGGCGCCTCGCCGCCCCGTTGCACAGCCCGGCCTCGGCGGGCATCCCCACTCTCGGCCCTCCCGAAGACCCGCGCCCCGCAGCCTCACAGCCTCCCGCTTCCGCGACCACTTACCCGTGCCACGTGCACCTCGGCTGGGCTGGCGCTCCCGCCCTCTCGCGGGCACTTCCGCCGCACCGACCTCGTCGGCCTCGGTCCGGGGACACGGGCTTTTTAAACAGACCAAAAACTCCAATAACTGGTTTGCCAGAAGAACCAGTCACTGGCGGATGCAGCGACAGGGACGCCTTCCTAAAGAGCCTTCAGCACCGGAAAAGAAGCAATACTCACTTCACTAGTTTACGACAGTGAGAGCGACGTAGCCAAGGAGCACAGGAAGTGACGTAACCCGTCCCTTACACATGACGTTCACGGAAGTGTTGCCCCTGGAGACGGCGGGCGTCCGGAAGCGGGCTCCTCTTCCAGAAACGCCGCATGATGTTAGTAGGCCCGAAGCAACTCGTGTACCTGGTGTCAAGCGACTGGGCCTTCTGGCTTCTCAGCCTGCGAGACGGTCCCCAGCCTCGCTCATGAGTTCGTCGCCAGCACGGACTGTGGCCCTACCTGTGAGGCCTCCCAGCCGCGCTGCCGGCAGGGTTCTCGCAGCCCGCAGGGTGTGTTTGTGCGCTTTACAGTTTTTTTAGCCGATCATTTGAACAACGCGTTCTGGTGGTATAAATTGTACCTGTTTGTCCTGTGTGTGTTTAAAGAAGTGATGTTATCTGATAAAAAGCCAAACAACATCTCAGTCTTTCGTGCCAGTTTATTCTTTCAAGTACGTTCCACCAGCGCATCAGTGGACACTGCGCCCCCTGTTAACGCCTTGGATGTCTGATTTGTCCCACTACCAGCAAAACTTCTAATAATGGTGGTGACCATCATTTATTTTCACTGACCTCTTTCATACCCGAATGTCTGAGACCCAGCCTTGAAATATGACCAGTCACTGCCTCTGATAGAAGATGGATAATGATACCTTATTTCAGAAGGCCATTGTAAGTGAGGTTTAAAAAGACTTCTGTAAACTTTACCAGGAAACTAGGAATTCCAATATGTCTTCTACACTAAAGTGTAACGCTCCTGAAGGAAGGAGCCCCTAATAGCAATATATACAAGGAATTTGAAAATACATCTTAGTTCAAACTTAACTAAATCTACCTTAAATTCTGTACATTGTACAGAAATAGAATTTTTCATAATTGCTCCTCTATTTTGTATGGTCATTTATGGTAATACTAAGTTCACTGTTTCAGTCGTCACTTGGTGCCTCCAGCTCAGTCTGTTAAAACCACTGAACTTGTATACGAGATCTTCAAGAGGAAGAAAGGGTGAGGAAGAGGAGAAAGATGGGAAAAAAAGAATTCCAAGATATTATGTACAGGTACAAATTCCCTACGATGAGTGTGATCCTTGTGAATGGCAAATTTTAAAAAGATCACCTGTTATGTTGCCACTTTATAAGAACCAACATTTAGAAAAGGGAAGTTGCTTCCCCAGCTGGTTACAAAGGCAAACTCAAACTTTGGATTGTCACAATCCTCAGTCCGTTTTGCCCTTCTCTCTTCGAACTTTCCTCCTTTCAAATTGTTCATCTTTCCAACTCGCCATTTGTATTCTTGGTAGTATCTTGCTTTAATTTCTAATCTTTGAACTCAGACTTTTGAGCACTCTTTTCCTATCCTTGCCTTGAGTGCAATCTCTTTTATTCCAAGTTAGCAATTTCTATTTCTCAAGTAACTTTGTACCTTCACCAATTACAGACCTCTTGTCCCTGCCACACTTCTTGGTCTTGTTCGGAAGCTAAATCACATAGTATAACCTACAAGAATTCAACTGTCCAGAAATAATGGTGAACTCAAAATTTTACTCTGAGCATCTTTGTTACTACAGACCTGACTTCTTTTCCCACTCTGTACTGCATTTGATGATGCCCTGAACTTACTGAAGTAGTTTTCTACTGCCCCCATCCTTGGGACCTAGACAGCGCCTTCTTTCCCTCTGTGTCCTGTCTGAAGTCACAGCTCTGTTAAGCCTCTCTTAATTTTATTTCCCTCGAGTGCTGTACACCGTCCCTCTACCCCATCAGTCCAGCATCATTGCCTTGCTTCTCTTTCCCTCTGTTGTTAAACACTTCCTTCTGCTTGGAGAAGCTCCAGGCACTAATCCAAACCTTTTAGATCTTTTACCCAGGAGGAATTCTTGAAATAATTGTCCAGTCACTAGAGCCTCTGCATAAAAATCTGTCTCTCTCTCTCTCTCTCTCTCTCACACACACACACACACACACGAGTGTGGTGAGCAAGTTTTAAATACAATGATCTAATAATATTGTCAGTATTGTACATAGGATCTCAATATGTTGCCCAAGCAGGTCTTGAACTTGTGAGCTCAAGTGATCATCCCACCTCCGTCTTGCAGGCAGGCACTATTAAACCCATCTCAATGCTCTTCATTTAACTATGGCAAAATTCCCATCAACCATCTTCATTATTGTTAAAGGTATAGGTCAGGATATTAAGTACATGTGCATTGTTGTGCTACTTTTGAATAGAAAATAATGTTTTTCTATGTGAATCTGGATTTGGATGTATGGGGGAAGGAGTTGTGGGGATTGAACCCAGGGCTTCCCACATGCCATGTATATTCCCAACTCTTTCTTAAAATTTTGTTTTCAGAAAAGGTCTTGCCAAATTGCCCAGGTTGACCTCAAACTTTGTAATCCTAACTCAGCCTTCCAAGTAGCTGAGTCTACAGGTGTATACCATCATGCCCAGGTCTTGTTTTATTCTTTATTTTTTGATTCAATTTATTTGCCTTCTTTGTGTAATACTAACTCACAAAAAATGTCAACTCCACCACAAATGGGGGCTTCCACTTTGCATTTAGTAAATGTTGCTGTTTGATTTCAGTGAACACTGGTTTCCTTTTATGGGCCTAGATATACAAAAAGTCAGTTACCTATTTATTGTGGAGTAGTTTGTGTAATTAACTTTTGTGTATATTCTCTCAATTCTGAGTTAAGCTTGAAATCAGCACACATACTTCATTTTCAACTAAATTGCTGTGGTTTCTGCTTTTGATGTTAATGCTGGAAGAAGTTGAAAAGTAGGGCAAAATGCTTACCGTTTTCGGATTAGTGGCAGACTATTTCCCTTTTGCAGAAATCCAGACTTTACAAGAAGGCCAGTGAGTGCATTTTATCAGATGTTCATAGTCATAAACTCACAGAGTTCCTCCTCTCATAGGGAGGCCCTCGGGCTGAGGAGATCCAGGAAAGGGCCCTCACCTGCTGGAGACCAGTATAAAGCGGCTCTGAGCAGGATTTAAAATTAACTAATTGGCTTTTTATGTTATCTGTGAGAGTGTCCTAGGCCTCGGCCCCTTGCCTGGCGATGGGAGCTGATTCACAGTAAGTGAACCTCTATGAATCACTGGTCCTGGCTGAGGCCGGTAGTGGCCTGTGAGGCCAGAGACACCTCAAAGGGCAAGACAAGGACACAGCTGCGGACACTTGGCTCAAACATCAATTAAGTAGACAGAGACTGCAGCTGCAGAAATTACTCCTACAATCTCACTTCTACCATGTCTTCATGATAAGACAGTTTTACTGAATTTACTTGATTCATTACTTGAGATGTCCTTGAAGTGACTCCCAAGGTCCTGCTCATTGCCTGCACTTTCCTCAGTTTCCCCGCCCCTTGATTGTTGGACCTAATAAAGTGGGTAGTACAGGGAAGTCCTTGTCTTAGCCCTCAGAGTCTCGAGCTCAGCTAAAGCGTTTTGACCCTCCTGGAGCCCTAAAATCATACCACTTGTCTCATTTATTTAAGCGTTGGGTGTACACTCATTTGGGAGACTGGGGATCTAGGTCAGGACCCGATACTCACCCAGCCCCATAAATGTGCCATTCTCCCATGTGGTTTTCAGTAAGATTTTGAGACTTCTTCGCAAGTGTGGTCAGCAGTAGAAATGCCATAAGATTTCTTTTTGCCATGTGATTTTTCCAAAGGCTCAATTTCTGTTTAAACGTGAGAATCTTACCACTCTCCTCTGATGAAAAATGTTCATAAGTAGGCTGACTTCTCCAGCCAATCTCCATTTGCAAAGGATTGGGAAAAATCTATTTTTTGAAAAACACTTGTACAATTCATTTTTCTGCCCAAGTGTCCTGTTAAGAACTGAAATCTGGGGGCTGGGGATTTAGCGCAGCGGCATAAGCGCCTGCCTTGCAAGCAGGCAGTCGTGAGTTTGATCCCTGGTAACGATATAAAGGAAAAGAGACAAAAAAAAAGAACTGAAATCTGAGTTACATCTTTTCCTGTGCAGTAATATGCCAGAAATGGCATAATTTCTGCAGTTCAGAAATTCATGAATGTTTAGCTGGACAGTTCTGGCTGGCTCTCTCAAGGAGTTGCAGTCACATGTCAGTCCCAGCACACTGGGAGGCTGAGATAGGAGGACTGCAAGTTCAACTCAGTCTGCGCAATTTAGTGACTTAGCAAGACCCTGTGTATTGGGTCCTGACTTAGATCCCCGATCTCCCAAAGGAGTGTACAGCAGAGGTTAAATAAAAACAGACAAATTGTATGATTTTTAGGGCTCCAGGAGGGTCAAAACCCTTTAATTAAGCTCGAGACTAAAGGCTAAAGACAAAGGATTCTTTGGATCAGTCCACTTATATTAGGACCAAGGACAAAGAGCGGAGAAACTGAGGAAAGTGCAGGCAATGAGCAGGACCTTGGGAGTCACTTCAAAGAGGTCTCCAGGTCATGAATCAAGTCAGTTAGTAGCACTGTCTTATCATGAAGACATGGTGGAAGTGAGACTGTAGGAGTAATCTTTGCAGCTGCAGTCTCTACTTAGTTAATTGTGGTTGGAGCCCGAGTGTCCACAGCTGTGGCCTTATCTTGCCCTTTGAGCTATCTCTGGCCTCACAGGCCACTACAGGACTCAACCAGGAACAGTGATTCATAGAGGTTCACTTACATGAATCAGCTCCCATCGCCAGGCAAGGGGCCGAGGCCTAGGACAGACTCACAGATAAACATAGAAAGCCAATTAGTAAAATTTAAATCCTGCTCAGAGCCGCTTTGTAGTGGTCTCCAACACCTATATCTAAGTTTAAAGGAGGAGTGAGCTCTTGGAGGTGTTGGGTCAATTTCTGAAAAAAAAGATGTCAAGCAGGAGTGTAGCCATCTGAAATCTTGGCCAAGACTCCTGCATTCTTTACTGCCCGCGCTCGCTGAGACCCCTGGAGACCTTCAGGTGCGAGGCCTCGATTCCTTGCTCTGCAGGCCTCTT